ACAATATTATGAAATATAGAAGCAGTTTGGTTAGGATTTAATATGATTTAAATTTTAAGGGACATTATTTCTACAGAACACTTTGTCACTGTAAAATACTGTTGCTGAACTACATAAAATTGACAAATTTACTACACCATCTATATTTTTTTTGTATTTGAATATATCTACAAGCTCAGAGAAATTCTGGAAATTTGTTCTCAAATTTACTTGAAAATGGAAATCACAGTAGCATTTTATTGCAATATATGTGTTTTTACAAGGAACTTGGTAATGAATGATTGACCTTGAAAGCTCTCAGAATTCATAGAAAATTGGAGACGAGCAGCCTGGGCCTCAGCTGTAGTAAATTACAACTTAACTGAATATTGATTGTATTCTAGACCATAGTCAAAAAGAAATAAGAGCTTCAGCATTCATAACTCAAGGTTCTTAATACTTTCATATGCGAAGGTAAACTAAATACTATTGAAAATATTGACTATTACGGATTCATAGACTTCCTTGGGCTTGCAAGTGCTTTTCCTCATCCTCTGATCTATTCTTCATAAGTGCTGCTTTGCTCCTGCAGAGAGAGCCACACCATCAGGGATGTGTAGGAGAGGGCTGGGGCATTTTATGCTTAGTCAGTGCTTCTGGGAATGCATTTGGAGGAGATTTGACTAAATATCTTAAATAAGTTACATTGTGGCCTTTAGAATTTTTTGGATTAAGGCTAAGCAGAGTTATCTGTGGCTGACTTCAGTCACTAAAACAGTCTAATCATTTTCATTTAATTGGTGCCAAAGAGTTATTTTATGTTGATACTCCAGTTTCACTCCATCTGACCATCCTTATTTGAATTACTTAGTTTTCTGGTTACCCTGCTATTGTGATTGACACAGTGTAATCAAGGCGTGGTCTTATAATTGAGTTGTATCTACTTTTATAAATTGTTTGAATCTGATATTCAGTACAGATGACATTTATTTTTCTTGTTTCTCAGACTGCAAGTGGCAACGTGGAAGCAAAAGTAGTATGCTTTTATAGACGACGAGATATTTCCAACACGCTTATAATGCTTGCAGACAAGCATGCTAGTAAGTTAATTGTCTTTTTCTTGGAATTAAAAAAAAAAATTGAAGTCTTTAAAGTCTTGCAAAATGTTTTCCATGATGTAAGGCAACACACTTGTTACCTCTAGTTGTTTGCTTTCTCATTTGTTGTCTTTATAGTTTACATGGGAGGAATTTTTTTGGTGCATGGTTTTAGCACATTTCTTTTTTAGGTTTTATTGTATGTTTATTAGTCAAAATGTTAACATAGCAATCTTTACAAGTTAGCCTTAGCAAGAAGCGAGGGCACTGTTTTGCCATTCCTCATTTTTGATGGTGAGGGTATGGTTGAGGAATGGATTTGAGGAAATTTATACTTGCTTCTCTAAAACAGTTAACTAAGTAATGTTTAGATTCTTGAGACGTTTGTTATTGTATTCGCTTGAGGAGACTCCGTAGGTTCTGATTACAGTCAGGTTGGCTGTAATCTTTAGGGAAGCAGCTCTCCAGGCCTGGATCTTCAGAGTGCCCCTGGTTAGGTTCGAACTAGAAACCTTGGGTTACAAGCCAAGTGCAGATCATCTGCACCACCTGGGGACCTTAGTAATATTTTGGTTCTTTTATTCCATGTATTTTTTATGATGTGGTTTTAGTGTTAGTAATGTGTGAAAAGAAAAGTTTGCCATAAAAGGAAATGAAAAGTGGTATGTAGATAGGAAGAATTTCCCTTGCACTTCATTTTCGTTTATTTGCTGTTGTGTGTTTTTTCCAGTCAACAGCTTTGACATATTTTTAGCACTTTTGATTTTTGAAATTAACAACAGTCATACCAAAAGAAGGAAAAAAAATTTAAAGGCATATAAATATATTATTGGAAAAGACATTTTCTTCCTACAAAATATGTCCTGAGACTATAGGACAATGTATATATGTATTTTTCATTTTAATACTTTGATTTATAATACCATGATCTTGAGTATCCTGAAACTTACTAAGTTTTCTGGTAATGGAGTGAGAGGGCCTATTGTATACAGAGTTGGGTTGTCTGAGTTTGCTTGTCATTTTTATTATGTCACCAGATTAGCCAGGCAAATCATTTGTCTCTTACAAGTTAATTTCCTACTGTATTTTCTGCTATAGTTCATAGTAATTTTCAGCTTCTTTCTATTTTTGTATAGAAAGTAAATATTATGAGTTATTCTATAGTATTTGTGAATTATGTAGTGACAAATTCAGAGCATTAATATTTGTCCCTCATGTACAAAACCAAAATACTGCTTTTTAAAATGACAGACTAACCACTTATTTTAGCTATAGTCAAATTTAATGTGTTATTAGATTGTTTATGCAAAGTTACTCTTCCCACTTCTTCCCTGGGTTTTCCATTTGTATTCGTGTGTTTTTTCCTGCCCCTTCCTGCCTTCTGAGATTTGTTTTTGGGCAAATGCTTCTCTTTTTAGCATAGTGCCTAAGGCACCTGAAGGCTGGTGGTTCAAACCCACCAGCCACTCCTCAGAAGGAAGGTTGGGCAATCTGCTTCCATAGTGATACTGCCTTGGAAACCCAAGGAGGGGTCGCTATGAGTCAGGTCCGACTTGATAACACATAACAACAACAACAGCAGCTGCCTTTTTCATCTCATGTAGTGTGTTATTTTGAGGAGTACATTCCTCACGAGTATTGTTTCACGAGCGTTGTTCACTTTATACGCCCCTTGTTTGGCTGCAAGGGATTGGTTCATTTCCAGAATTGAAGGATGTCTCGGGGCCATTGTCTTGGGGGTTCTACCAGTTTCTGTCAGAACAGTAAGATTGATCTTTTTTATGATTTTGAATTTTGTTCTATAGTTTTCTCCCATTTTGTCCAGGACTTTCTATGGTCCCAGTCAGAACTTTGGTAATGTTAGCCAGGCACTGTCTAGTTCTGGTCTCAGGCTAGTAAAGGCTGTGGTTTGTGTGGTCCATTAGTCCTCTGGAATAATTCTTTCCTTGAGTCTTTTGATATTCTATTATTTTCTTTCTTCTGGATGGGGGAGGGACTAATAGTTGTATCTGAAACAGCAGTTTGCTAGCTTTTAATACTCCTGAGTGTGACAGCATCTTGGTGCTGTTTCAGGCTTGTATGTGTAGATAGAAAATAAATTCCCCCTCTCCCCTGAATTGATTAGATTCTTGATACAGAAACCAAATTTTAAGAGACTTAAGCATAAATCAGATGATTTAGTGGCAATATGTGCTTTTAGAGAAAGACCTGGGTTCAAGCTCTGGTCTTTATTTACTGTTTGATCTGGGGACATGTCTTAACTTTTGACAGGTCCTCATTGGTAAATAAAATGGAGATTCTGAAAATTACCTCCTAAGGTGCAACTGTTGGTCTCTCCCTGTCTGGAACAAAGAAGAGTGAAGAAAATCAAAGACGCAAGGAAATAATTAGTCCAAAGGATTAATGGACCATGTGAACCCTAGCCTCCATGACCATGATGAGATCAGAAGAACTAGATGGTGCCTGGCTGCCACTGCAGAAAGCTCTGAAAGGGATCACAGTAGGAGGTCCTGGATAGACTGGGAGAGAAATGTAGAAGAAAACTTAAAATCATAAAAAAGACCAGCCTTACTAGTCTGATAGACACTGGTAGAACCCCTGAGACTATGGGCCTTAGACATATTTCAGAACTAGAACTGAACTCACTCCTGTGGCTCAGCTCAACTTTCAGCCAAAGGATAGACAGGACATACAAAGTGAACAGAATACCAGGGAGGTACGTACTCTTTAGAACAACCAACCATGTAAGATCAAAAAGGCAGCCCTTGCCCAGGGATGGGATAAAGCTCAGAAGGCAGGAAGGGATAGGAAGGAAGGATGAATAGGAATGGTAATTATAGGGAGGAAGTGGAAAAAGTGCTGTTACATTGTGGGGATTGTAGTCAGTGTCACAAAATAAAATGTGTATGAATTATTAAATGGAAAACCAATTTCCTCTGTTAACTTTTACCCCAATTACAATTAAAAAACAGAAAAGGGTTGATGTGAGGATTTAAAGACCTCTGGTGGCATAATGGATAAAGCATTTGGCTGCTAACCAGGTCATTGGTTCAAACCCACAAGCTGCTCCAGAGGAAGAAGATGAGGCAGTCTGCTTCTGTAAAGATTTACAGCCTTGGAGACCCAATGGGGATCTCTGTGCATCAGAATCAACTTGATTACAGTGGTTCTCGTGAGGATTCATTTACGTGAGGGACAGTTCATAATGGGTATATAATAAATGTCAATCGGTTGCTTCCTGCCTCTTTAAACATTTATAGATCATCTCTTTGGGAGGATTACTGTTAGCTACATTTGTCTGTTTTCATCCATTCTTTGTCATTAAAGGTAACTGTATATATAGCCTGCTATGGTGGGATAGAGGTATATCCTAATGTATTTCTTTTGGTATTGATTAAAACTTCAGGTTGGGAAAACTGAGAATAAAATGTGTGAATTGTATATGCTTTATGAAGAGATTTTTAAGAGATTAGTGGAGAGAATGTGGTAAATTGGAAAGAGTTCAAAACTCCAGTTCTGAGTTTGGACCACTTAATTTTCCTTTCATTATGGTCTCTTACAAATTTTTACTACAGAAATTTTCAGACATAGCAAAAGCAGAGAGGATAATACAGTATATTTAGTGTTCCCAACGCTCAGCTTCAACAGTTGTTAATACATGACCAATTGTGACTCATCTATACCCTTACTCACTTGTATTGAAGCACATCAGAGAAATGTTACTATTTTATCTGTAAATATTTCAGTATGTATTTCTAAAAGAGATAGCCTCTTTTAAAAATATAGAAAAGTGGCAAGAATACAGAGAACTTTCATATACACATTACCCACATTAAGTAATGGTTAACATTTTTCCATATTGGTGTCTGCATTTTTTATATGTGTCTCAATGCCATTATATTGTTGTTGTTATGTGCCTTCGAGTCAGTCCCGACTCATAGCGACCCCTCCTTGGGTTTCCGAGGCAGTAGCACTACGGAAGTAGATTGTCCCATCTTCCTTCTGAGGAGTGGCTGGTGGCTTTGAACCGCCAGCCTTCTGGTTAGCAGTCAAGTGCCTTATGCACTACGCTACCAAAGCTCCCCAATACCATTATATATATATAATACCAATATATGTTATGAATGTATATTATATATCTTTATATATACACACATATGGGAGCTCTGGTGGCGTGGTGCCTAAGGCATTTGACTGCTGACCGGAAGGCTGGTGGTTCAAACCCACCAGCCACTCCTTGGAAAGAATGTTGGACAATCTACTTCTGTAGTGATAACTGCCTCGGAAACCCAAGGAGGGTTGCAGATTAGTTTCTAATTTAACAGTTTTTATACATATTGTTCAGTAACATTGGTTGAATTTTACAGTATCAGCATTCTCATTATTTCCATTCTGGTTGTTCTGTTTCCATTACTCTAGCTTTCCTCTCCCCCTTTACTGTCTATTCTTTGGTCTAGAGTAATTAATTGGTAACTGTTTGGTTTCATTTAGGTAATTATTTAGATGATCTTACCAAACCCACTGCTGTTGAGTTGAGTTGGACTCATAGCAACTCCATAGGACAGAATAGAACTTCCCCATAGGGCTTTCAAGGCTATAAATCTTTATGGAAGCAGACTATCTCATCTTTCTGCCGTGGAGTGGCTGGTGGGTTCAAACTGCTGACCTTTTGATTAGCAGCTTAGTGCTTTAACCACTGTGCCACCAGAGCTCCTTATAGTACTCATAGATGATATTATTTATTTTATAAGCCAATCTCTCATTTGGCTGAAATATGTCTAGTAGGAGTGGTTTCAGCTCCAAGTTTAAAGGGATCCCAGGGTAATAGTCTTGGGGCTTCCTCCAGGCTCTACTGGTCCAGTTTAAGTCTGACCTTATTTAGGAATTTGAGTTTTGTTCTACATTTTTCTTCTATTCTATCTGCAACTATCTGTTGTGTCCATGGTTGGATGATTGATAGTGATAGCTGGGCACCATCTAGTTCTTCTGCTCTCAAGGTAGTT